TTATTACCATGATGATTATGAATATTATGGTTAACATGCTTATTATGATCATGATAATGAAACGAGCTTCGGGGCAAGATCCTTGCTGCCGGCTTCGGGGTCCAGGGAGTCGGGGTCTCACCATCTTTTCGCCTCTTACGTTCTGTAGTGTCATTCTGCTTTCAAGCGAGTGACACAAACACCTCTATGCTATAATATACTGTTATACGGTAATGCGCGACAATATACGATAACTTCCGACAACGTACGATAAAAGATTGTAACATACTATAAGACGCTATCAGCTACTATCAGATATTACAATACACTACCATTGTCCCTGTTGTTATCATCGTATCGGAAGCTTGGACACGACAGGCGAAGCTCATGTCGTGGTGTTCCTTCAGAGAAGGCGTGCTGTCGAGGATGAGTCCCTCCGTCCTAAACTTGGGTCCTAAACGTTCAAGCCTTAAGCCCTAAAACCTACATCCGAAGCCCTGCCCTATTTTTTGAATCCTGGGCCCTAAGCCCTCAATCCATCGCCTTAAACCCTAAGACAAGGAATCTTGAACCCTAGACCCTAAATCCTAAGCCTTCAACCCAGGAATCGGCACTGTGAGAAACTGAAGGGCGCGGACGGGACCTGGCGCCGTGTCGATTGCACGTTGGGCGAACTCCGCCACCTTTGCTGCCTCGTTGCTCGAGATTGTGCTGAGGTGTCGTCTGGTATCGAACACCGTGAACAGATGTTTCGTCGTGTCGTCTGGCTTGCCCCATGTCGTGTAGGCTACCGCGACACCCGTATAACGCGGCCCTAGCAAGGCATCCGGGTACAGCCGCCATTGACCCCCCGTTGCCTTTGGTTGCTCTCCTGAAAGCCTGCGTTTGAGCAAAGAGGGAGGTTCTCTGTCCTGTGACGGGCATCGCGGCGAAGGTGGCAACAGAATGGGCTGAGCCGGTGCAGCGGGCAGAGGCGGAGATTTGGCCTTTGACTGGGCAGCAGTACTGCCCTGTAGCTGCCGAAAGCCTGTCTGCAATAAGACAGCTTCATCCTGCTCGCCATCTGGTGCCGGTGGCATCGCGAAGTGAGGCTGGCCGGCTCGAATGAAGTCTAAGTCTTCCACGAAACCAGGCACGGCATCCAAGTCTTCACCGTTGGGTTCGTAAAGAACATAGAGGTATGGTGGCAGCCTATGTGGCGGACAGAGTCTATGGCAATGCTCGGCAATGTCGTCCGCTGTCTGTCCTGGGCCGACATTAACCGTGCATATCCTCCCCGACATGGGTCGGTAGTCGACCGGCATAGCTTGGTGCCCAACAGGGGCGTCACGCAGTGTGATAGCCAGTTGGGTGGCGGGAAAGCCTGGCAGACGATCTGTGAGGAGTCGTGCTGCACGTATACGAGGGTACGCACCGTATACGTCGGCAATTAGCTGGCCCAAAGTGAACCCGCGCGGCAAGGAACGGATGTCTGCATGCGTCTCGGTATTGAATACACAATACCGATCTTGCTGCGGCGTTTCACCCACAATGCCTGCGGCTCTAAAACCACTAAATCCCTGAAGGGCAGACACCTGCAAGTCTCTAATCTCTGGCCTGTCTATGGATCTCGGGAAGAGGTCCACAGACTGGGATAGGCACATCCGGAGTGAAGGCAGACCTGTGGGCTTGGGCGAGAGGTCGGAGCACGACGGCCATATCTCGCCCTGTCCTGTGGCCTTTGCATGGTGTGGGTGGCCGTCCTCAGAGCAGGCTGTCCGAGGATCTGTGGTCCTGGTCGTAGCTTCGCATTGCCGCCCGAGCTTATTGACCTGCCTCGCCAAGGCATTATAAGAGGTCTGGGCACCTGCCTCAAAGCACACCTTCAAAGGTAGGAGGTGGGGCGCGCGCTGGCAATTGCTGCGTACGGGGGGAGCCCGCTCTGTTGAACTTCCAGAACAAGTTGCCGTGCACACAACGGGTGGCACAGGCTGCTGAAGGTGTCTGGAGCCTCTCCACGTGGCCTTTTCCTGAGTCAAGGGCCGACGATCTGGACTAGTAGCCGTGCACACAACAGGTGGCACAAGCTGCGATTGGGAACCTGAACAGCACGGCCCAGACGAGTTGTGGTGCTCGAAGGAGTGGCGGGAAGCCTTGGTTTGTGATGAATTCCAGCTGCATGGACGAGTTGCCGTGCTCACAACAGGTGGCACCAGCTGCGACAGGGAACCTGTAGACCTATCCTGTGCTGGAACCTCATGCCTTGCAGAGAGGGCTGGTGAAGCCGGATGGGCGGTCGTGCACACAACAGGTGGCACAGACCATGAATGAGGAAGTGTCGCATTCCCTCCGGTGTTGCGGGCTCGCACTGGCAATGGTTGCCATGGCTGAGGGAGCATCTGGTAGGAGGATGTGGGTGTGGTGACGGGCGGTGGCACCTCGATCGGATCCTTTGCCGTGCACGCAACAGGCGGCACATGCTGCAAGACATCTGTACAGTCCTCGTCTGTACAATCTGTACATCCTTCAGAAAACCAACCTTCAGCAATGGCGGCCTCGATGTTGCTTCGAATACGAGGATCCTCGTCCATGTGAAGACTGTGTCCGACCATGTCAAAGCGAACCTCGTGCTCAGCTACTACCCCAAGTAGCTGCGCACGAAGTTCGCTAACGAAGTCCGCTTCCAGAAAGACAGAGTGCATCCATTGTACACCCTGTGCCGCCGAGGTGGCAGCCGTAAGCCCATGCAGTCCCCGTAGGCTCATACATGGGCACCGCCAGGGGGCACCTTTGCGGCAGCCTCTAGCTTGGTATCCGGCTTTTTCTCTGCACCCTCTTTGTCCTTGGAAGCTGTTCTCCTCGGAGTACGAGAGCCTTCCCGAGCTGGCGTCTCCAAATGCTGCTGCACATTCTTGAGCACTTGCAACATCTCCTGGGCCTTGGCGTCCGTCTCGGCACGCTGTTGCTCTCGCCTGATGGAAGCTTTCGCTTCTTCCTGTGCCGCCTCGGCCACCGCCTGCTCTTGCTTCTCCTGTTGCTCCATCTCCGCATCGATGTCGATTGGTTCCTGCGGCTCCGCAACATCTTGCTGCGTGGCTGCATGCCTGGCCAGCTCTGCCGTGGTGTCGTCGAGCTGGGTTTTCCAAGCCTCCTCCGCTTGGTCGAACTGTCGGAGTGTACTCACTCTGTCCGTGAGTTGCTGCTCCAAAAGCTGGGCCATGTGGTTCAGGTAGGTCGCCCAGGCCCCATCGAAGGTCGCTCGATCTGCACGGGTCTTCGATAGTCCTCGACGTGCCTCTTGTTGCTTCGACACAAGCTTGTGGAGAACTTTCCCCGTTGCTCGATGTGCGTCTTCCTGGTAATCCCCAAGAAGACGGGAGATCTCCGCAGGCGTATTCTCCTGGCCAGCCACATGCGATACCAATGCTCGTAGCAAGATCTGCTCGCTGCTTTGCAGGGTCGTCGCCGTCCCTTGGGAAGGCGCAGGACTGATTGCTGGCATGGCCGGTCCAGGCGGAGTAGGTGCTGCAGGTAAAGACGCAATCTGTGGAGCTGTTGACGCTCCAGGTGCCACAGAAGGCTCCGGCCCTTTGCCCACCGGTTTGCCCTTCGTCTTGCCTGCTTTGCCACTTTTGCCTTCTTTGCCATCTTGTCGACGTAGTCTCGGGGATGTCGGTCTCTTCCGAGAGCGCGGCGAAGACTGCCTCCACTGCCAATCCCAATCTTGAGATCCAGTGGCCCGCCAGGGCGGGTGTGTACCCGGCGTCGCTGTATAGCTGTCTCTGCCCGTACCACAATTCGGGCAGAATTGGGCATTGGCTTTGCACCACCTGTTGCACGAATGGCACCACCAGCTTTGCGAACTGGCTGCCATATTGCCTGCTCTGAGTGCTTCTTCGGCTCGTGCAGGTAGCTCTGATCTCGAATGGTGTTTCCCCAACCGGCTGATGGCACGCCTCACCAAACCAGGATGTAGCCACGTGCCTGTTGTGAACACGCGCAGGATCGTGCGCGCTCGAGTCCGGTTGCGCCTGGCTCTTCGGTGCCAGGCTTGTTCCTTGCTCCAGCCAGGCCTCCGCGTGGTGGAGATAGAGGTTGAGGATCAAAAACCACAGGAAGGGCATCCACAGCCCAAACTGTATAATACGAAGTAAATCCAGCCTCTCCTAGGAGAGGGGACAGTCAAACAGCGGCACCTCGCGAGGCGTACAGTGCCGAGTTTATGCTCGCAGCTGCCCTTCACCGGGTCCAGCTGAAATGCAGTGGGACACACCGAGTGGTCCACACGAAAGGGTCAGGCGCAGCGACAATGGTGGACTTCGCAAGCGAAGAAACTACACCAAAGCAGCTGAAAGCCAAACGCCTAATCCTCCCACTGCCACAGGTCGTGTTGACACTGGAGTCGGACTTGCCTGATGCCTTAGCTATCCCGTGGGATTGTCGTGCAATTGGCCTGCCGATCCGTACCACATCACATCTGCCCAATGAGCCGCTCCAAAATGCTGCCAACACACTGCAAGCTACCATTCCGACTGAGGTTGATTTGGCGTTTCGCATTGGTTCTGGCAGCCTCCTCGTAATGGATGTTGCTGGCCTACTTCAAGATGCCCTGCCGGCGGTGCTAACCGAAATCCAGTGGCTGCGGATTGAGCAGCCCGTTTGGGGCGAGACCTTCCTTGAGAGGCAGTCCCACCTGCCGAGCATGCTTGAATCGTTGCAGCTGGGAGCACCGGCAGGCCTAGGCAGGGCCTCCAGTACCACCAGCACCACCACCGGCACGATGCGGGAAGGAATTCGAACCTATCGCATTCGACTCTTTGGAGATGGCAAAGAAGTGTCACACGATGTGCAATCCCCGTGTCCACAACTGGACTTGGTTTTGTGTCTCCTGCTGGGCAAGTTGCAGCACACTGCACCGAGCTCTTGTGGGCCGGCAAACATCATGATGGCAAAGGCCCAACCTCCTCCTTCCGGGGATGTTCAGGAGGTACTCTTCCTCAGCCATCCCGCCAATGAGTTCGACATGGTGCCGGTATTTGTGGACGGACGCCCCCAAGGAGGCATACTTTTGCTTGCAGATATCCATCGCCTGACCACCACTGAAAATGCGATACCGGACACTGTCCGGGGGACTGGATGTTTTGCACTTATCAACGGGGCACCTGCACACTTGGCGCAGCGCAATGTTCTGCCGGGCGACTACGTGCAGCTCGGATGTTCGGGGGTGTTTGTGCCACACACAGCGGCCACTGACATCATGGACCAGCTACCCAGCACCGATGTCTACGGACATCTGTTCACTGCGCAACGCAGAATGGATGACAATACAACCTGTCGCGGATCCGTGAGAGGCGCAGGGCTGCCAAAGTCTGGCAGCCTCTCGAGAACGTGATCACAATCGTAGGTCCAGCGCATGGGCCAGTGCGACTGCGAATTGATAGTCTTTTTGTGCCAACGGTTGATGAAGTCCGGGAGGCTTTGATTCCTATGACCGAGTTCAACGGCATGAGGCTGGCGATGGCGCACACTACTGCACAAATTCCTGGGGCGGCGCTCTTTGTCACCGTGTGTCCCAATAGCGATTTGCGCACAGTGTTACTTCCGCTTGCAACAAGCCCGACTCACCACATCATCCTCATGATACCCTCGCTTGCGGAGGATCTGGGATACTTGCCATTGGATCCACAGCAGCGGATCCTTTGGACGTATGGTAGGTGGCGACATGGGCAAATCCTCGCCATCTTCACCTTGCCAGCCTCGATGGCTCGCCCCATTCACCAGCACGTGCGGCCGCCTCGGCCTCAATTCCGAGAGACCTATAGTCCAGGGGGCAGAGTGGTTCCTAGAGGTGGCACCTCTCTGGTCCAGATTCAGGACTTACGGAAAGACTCTCAAGACAGATGTCGCAAAGCCGCGCGTCGATGGCATGTTGACGAGCACCAGCCCTGTGTGGAGGGGTTACCGCTGGAAGTCCATCGCAGGCTCAACAGCATTCCGGTGACCGTCGGTGATCTGCACACTGCACCAGGAGAGCCTAAGGCACTCCACGATACGGCTCATAACCGGTCTAGACAGGCCATAGGCGATCCACAGGCCAACAAGCCGGGCCGTTCTTGCATTCCCACTCCACTGGGACGGCGCTCGATTTTGCGTGCGCCACTGCAGGCCAAGCCCTCACTTTGTGACATGATTTCTAGTGCAAAGGTCCCAGCGGAGACCAACAGTCTTGCCTTGGAATTGGAGTCAGAAGCCTTAGATTATGTATTTAAGCCTTTCGGCCGAGAATCGTTCTGCCACACCAGACCCCCTGCCGCTGCGCTTCACCCCAAGGCCCGGGCTTTTCTTGCGAACCTCCCCGACTCGCGCAGAGATTGCCCTCTAGAGGCGCTCCAGCTCTATGTTGATGGTTCTTTCGCAAGAGCTGCCTCAGGGGTCAAGGCGGGTTGGTCCATAGTCGCCATTGGTAGGCAGAATGGAATTTGGGGATGGGATGGTCATTTCTCTACCCCATGTTCTCCGGATGGAGACCACACCACCCTTGGGGTTGCGGTTTCGTCGGCGTTTGAGGCTGAACTTGCAGGGCTCGTGTATGCTATGGCCGTGTGCCATGCAATTGCATGCCCAACGGTCATCTTTTATGACTGTTTATCGGCAGGCCAACTTGTTGCGGCAGAAGCTACGGCAGCAACTCCCACCGCGCTCTCAGAGGCTGCCCTAGCAATACATCACTTGCTGTGGCTGCAGCACCGACTGCCTGCATATGGCCATATCAAATCGCATGAAGGCCACCCTCTCAATGAGCTTGTCGATTCCGTGGCCAAACTCGCTGCAAAAAGGTCAGGGACTACTTCAGTTCCCTCTGAGCTTCACTGGGCTTCCGAAGAAAAGGCACTTCCTTGGCTGTGGGCTGCAGCTGGAATCCATCACAGTGTTCCGAGACCTGACGAAACAGGCAAGCTCCACGACTCCACACCTGACTGTACACTCGCCATGCCTACTCTCAGCGATGTACTGCCCGCTGTTAAGACAGGTCCTGTAGAAGATCTCCAGCTCAAGTTACGCGCGGCCACCTACAATGCCATGACAGCAGCGTCACAGGTGCAGAAAGAGAGCTTTGCTCATCAATTTCTGAAAGGTGGCCTGCACATTGTAGGGCTTCAGGAAACACGTGTGGCCGAGAATGGACGTAAGCGGGTAGGAGCCTACTATGTCCTCTCCAGTGCCGCCACCAAAGGTGAAGGTGGATGTCAGGTATGGTTCGCCGCCAATCTGCAAGTAGGGCGCGGACCCTCCGGTCCGGTGCACTGGGAACCTTCCTCTCTCAGTATACTCGTCGCAGAGCCGCAGCTCATGCTAGTCACAGCTAAAGCTGGCGGCAGCACATTTGCCATCTTAGTGGGACACGCGCCAGTCAACAAAGCACCCGCCCACACCAAGGAACATTGGTGGCAAGCCTTCTCGTCGACCGTGCGGAGAGTGCCCCCTCGGGCCACACTCATCTTGTGCTTGGATGCCAATGCAAGGCTTGCCTTGGAAGGCCAAGTGCACCCAGACAACGCGTGTTACCTGCGCGATCTCCTTACGGCTCATAACCTGGTCGCTACCAAGCCAGTTGACGAGTCGGGAAAGGAACTGGCCACTTGGTACAGCCCAGCAGGATTTTCGGCATGCATCGATTATGTTTGTGTGCTAAGAGAGATCGCTGATGCCATCATTTCACACCGGGTGCTGCAACACTTTGAAGGTCAGGTTGAGCATGATCATCGCCCTGTTCAAGTCGAGCTGTGTCTGCAAAGATCGGGAGCCAAAGCACCGACCAAGAGACCCCCCAACGCAGATTTCCTGCGCACAGCCGCCGGTCAACAGGCCCTGCGTGACATCTATCGGCGGATGCCACCTGTGCCATGGCAGACAGATGTCGATACACACCTTGGCCTTATCAACTCATTCCTCTCGAGCGAGTTGAGCCGACTGTGTCCATCAAAAGCTGCACAGCCGAGGTCCCCGATTATATCAGACCGCACATGGAACCTCATCAGGCACAGACGTGAGCTTCGCAGAGAGCTCTATGGGCGCAAAGTGCATGCCAGGCAGCGGTTCTTGAGGGGCATTTTTAGGGCGTGGGCCGGTCGGCTACAGCCAGAAGCCGACCTTGATCTTGAGCGCCAGTACACTGCACTCCTTGTGCTTCAGATTGCCGACCTCAACAGCAGTATCAGGCAGCATGCACGTCAAGATTCGGCCAGGGCTACGCAGGCAGCGTACGCTGAGGCCAGAACAAGGGGACCGGAGGCGCTGGCGTCGTTGCTGCGGCATGTTATGAAGTCCGGTCGCAAGTACAAACCACCGCCACTTGCACCGGCCATCTGGAACACGGAGGAGGGATGTTTCATTGAGGGCGATCGTGCGCTTGGCGACCATTTTGCCAAGGCAGAAAGGGCCCAGCTTGTCTCCCCGGAGTCCATTACCACGGCCCCAAAGCTGCCTACTGCACAGGGGCTTGAGACCGCCTCCGCTGTGTCCGTTTCCTCTCTTGCCCACTCGTTCAACAAACTTGCGCACCGTAAAAGCCCTGGGCTTACAGGTTTGCCAGCCGAAGCCTACAGTCAAGCGCCAGTGGCGGCCGCATCATGTCATGCGCCGCTCATCCTCAAAATTGCACTCCGGGGCCAGATGCCGATTTTATGGAGGGGGGGCGAGGTTGCAGCCATTGCCAAACCGCAAAAGAGTCCCCATTCGGTTGACGGATGGCGGTCAATACTGCTCATGGAAGCAGCAGCTAAAGGGGTCGGACGGGCGCTGAGACCTGCTCTTTTGCGTGGCTACCAGCACTTGAAGCAGCCGGGTCAAGGGGGCAGTGTGCCCAAAGAGCCCCTACAGTGGGCTATGGCCCTCATCAGGAGGTTCGCAAGACGCCTCCGATCCCGAGGATGTTCAGGGGGGGTGCTGTTCTTGGATGGCAAACAGGCATTCTATGCCACGCTGAGGCAGGCTTTGGTTGGCATTGAAGAAGGCTCCACCACAGATGCCATTGGAGCCCTGGCCGAACGCTTCTTTCCAGATCCGCAGGACCGCCTGGACTTTGTTGCGGCGGCAGTTGGCCCGGGTTTACTTCAAGCTTCAG